CAGAGAGAGAGAGAGAGAGAGAGAGAGAGAGAGAGAGAGAGAGAGATGGGAGGGGGGGAGGTTGAAAGAAGTGTTCACGCACAAAAAGAGCATAGAGTGAAAAAAAAAGACTGCCAGACACACTAAAAAGAGGTAGACAGACAGACAGACGTGTGCGGTGTAAAAGAGCACGTGACAAACATACTCACTCTGACACAGAAAACCTGAAGCAGCTTTTAAACCCCCGCACCTCTCCCCCGATCGCCACCCTCTTTCAAACAGCACTCCCTAAAACAACACGACTCCCCATAACTCTTCAACTACTCAACAGCAAAAGACCCGTTTACGTCCCTTGCTTTATCTCGTTTTCGGCACGGGCCATTTGTAACGTAACTGCCGGTTTCAACACTTTGACCAGGGGCTATAATCCGACAGAGTAACCCACTAGGCCTGTGGGACGCAGCACACGCGGATTTAATGGTTTTATTGAGTGAGAAAGCACAGGGTGGCGATGTCACTTGCGACCACTTGATTAACCCTTAATCTATTGTTGCTGCAGATAATATTATTTGCCCCATTCTGAAGTGCAGATAGCGGGAACGGAAACTGAGAGAGCGCAGCGCGATTCTAAATCTCGGCCTAATTTGAGTCGAGATAAAGAGAGGAGATTTATAGGAGAACGGTAAATCGCAAAAACCTCGCTTTCAGGTTGGCCCCCTGTTTGTAGTTTAGCGCGTTTTCTTTCATCTCTAGGAAGCGTGTCAAAGTTTGTTATTGTTGTGTGCAGTGCACCTCTGAGCGTGTATGTCTCTGCTTGTGTGTCTGTTCATGGTTGTACTTGATTCTTATATCCTTAGTGAGGTCAAACATTTGTGGTGCAAATTTTCCTCAAATATCTCTTTACCCGGTGAAACAATGTCAGCCATACTTTGAATAGCAGTTTGCATCAATTTGTCTTAACTAAATCATATTTTTCCAGAATAATTGGGGCTAAATTAAAAAACCTTCCTTTATAGATTTATATAATATACTTAAAATCTCTGTCACACGTAAAATGGTATTGTTCACAGCACTTCCCGCTTCTCACACACATTATGATTACGCATATGGCCTACGTCACAGCTCTTCAATGACAATTTTTACTAGCAAAACTTGTTACAAGAAATTATTGTTAAAGTGAACCCATTTTTTCCATTAATGGTTCTCAAAACATGAGTTCTATAAGCATAATGTCCCGATTAGAGAAAACCTGACGGACTTGCTATTAAAAGCAATATTGCCCCCAGCTGTAAACATTTAAAAATCTGTAGAAACCACGCACTTGGATGTTTTTATTAATATTTATTAAGGGGTTTTCTAAAATACAGCATGCTGGTGTTTACAAAAATATTAATCTGTTAAGACAAATTGATACGGGGCACTGTGCAAAATTTGTAGAATCTATGTTCGATAGTTGAGGAGATATTTGAAAATGAGTCGCACAACGAATTTTTGACCGCCCTATAATACTCTCTAGTACCACGAGGGTGAAAATGCTATTAATGTAACTGGCCAGAATTCTCTTTTCATTTTCAATTGTATGAAACACCCTTTGAAAATCTATAATAGTAAGCAGCTTTCATCATCAACACCAACCGATCTGAGATTATTCTCTCACTTCTGTCATCAACATCATCATTAGAAGCATCTTTACAAACAGCAGCGGCAATAGTAGTAGTAGTAGTAGTAGTAGTAGTAGTAGTAGTAGTAATAGTAGTAGTAGTAGTAGTAGTAGTAGTAGTAGTAATAGTAGTAGTAGTAGTAGTAGTAGTAGTAGTAGTAGTAGTAGTAGTAGTAGTATTAATAGCAGCAGCATTTGTAGTATAGACATTTAAAACAGTAAAAACTCCATCGTAAGCGACAACTACAACTTGAGAAAAGAAAAGAATAGGTAAAGATGGATTGCTAATGCCTTAGCAATTAAACGAGTAATGATAAGGTGTTTTTTTACCTCTATATCAGTATGAGCGCCCGTACAAGTGGCCAATTTTCAATTTTTGTTATTATTATCATTAGGCCTATTTTTTAATATTTTTTTTGTTTTTTTTGGGGGGGGGTATAAATTATGTGCGTGAGAGATTGGATAGAAGAGGAGAAAAGAAGAAAGATGCGAGGAAAAGCGAAGATTAATGAGGGAAGACAGAAATAATATAGAAGGCGAGAGAAAGAGGCGTGTGGAAAAAAATGAGTGTGAATGCACGTTCATGTTGCTGGTACTGCTCTTATCTTTATAGTATGAATGTCGTCGGAGAGAGATATATTTCTTTAGGAAACACTGAGGAACCCCATTGCAAAAGAAAAACCAATTCTGTTAAATCTGACATCTCATCATCTGAGACCAAACAACGTCAGGTTGCGAACTTGTGTGTTTTTATTTGTTTATGTTTTGTTGTTTTTTCTGTTGCTTTTTTGTGTTATTTTCTTTTGTTTTGTTTGTTATCATTTATTTTTGTATCGTGTCCTCTTTTTAGTTTCGTTATGTTAATTTCCCATGAGTCCTAAACCCCCTTGAGATACGAGTAATTCGGAAGAAAGATGGGCTCTAAACCGTAGGGTTTCTTCGTCTTCTTATCTTTTGAAAAAATGAGTATCTTATTCCCTTTCTTTCTCCTGCACCGGACCTTCCGACAGATCGGCCGGAAAAGCTACTGAACCCCCCCCCCCCCCCCCCCCCCGCAGTTACAGTTTCTAAAAAAAAAGATGGGACCCATTCGCAAAGCAGCAGGTGACGTAAGGGTGGTGCACCAGCTATGGGATAGTCATACCCACTTTTCCAGACACCCTTTAGTTCACATTCCCCGAGCAACTCGATGTTGTCAACTGCTGTGGAACTTCACAGCTAAGAAATTCCTTAAGACAAATATTATAGAAGCGGGAAACTTGATCTGAAAGAAACTACAAGCCGGTGGTCCACTCAGACAGCCTGAAGCGTGAAGACTATTAGGTAGTAGAAACTTCTTGTGACATCCTCCAACCATTTGCTTTCTAACTTGCTCAAGCATAACTTTGCAACTCAAGCTACGCAACTGAAA